ATAGAGTATAACTTTTCCTGCGCGTGCGTAGACTAATTGACTTTCTACGCATGCGCACCGGTAATCGTAAAGGGCGACAACGCGACACGCGACAATGCGACATATTGAATATGTCGCATTGTCGCGTTTTAGTCAATTTTTGAGCTTCTTTTTACACATCTTAGATAGGGCGACATGCGACAACGCGACATATTTTGACCTTGAAAATTGTCGCTATGTCGCGTGTCGCCCTTTGGAGGAATAGAAAAATATTATTCAAAACACGACACGCGACATCGCGACAATGCGACAAATGAGAGAAATGTCTTGTGTCGCGTTTTGGTTTATTTTGCCTCATTTTATTTGTTTTTGAGAGGGCGAGAATGCGACAACGCGACAATGTCCCTTCTCGGATTCCATAGATAACAGTATCAGTGTGAATGTTTTGACGTTGTTTGGTTGACGTAGGTATTTCTTTTTCTTCTACATAATTGTTAGCCGTGAAGATCCGGGTTAGAATTGATCTTCAGTAACCCATGCTTGTAAGAGGCGACTAACGGGATCGCGTGGTCAAAATCGCTGACTGGGTTGAACATGTCATCGTATCCTAAATGTGTAGATCGATGTTCATGCTGTTGATCCCTAGATTGTCTGGTCCAGATCCGATTATTTACAGACCGCCGTCATATAGCTGGAATATTGCTGAGCGCGGCGTAAAACTAAATTCACTCACTCACTCACTTCTCTACATTTTCCAAACACAGAACTGAAATATATATTTTTCAAAATATGATGTCAAAAATGTCGTTTTCTCAAGCATAAATTTAAATAAGGTGAGACAAGTAACCGAGCTACATTTTAGCGCCACATCAACGGTATTTCGATGAAGTGAGACCATGTGAAATAGTGTTTGATGGCGACTATTACACTGATATAATTAGTTATTTGTTTGTCAGATCCAGTTATTAAGTGTATGCTACAATTTTCTCGGACTGTCTATTTTTCAGGAAGTCTAATAATACAGACACATAATTCTATTATTTCCCCAACATCATCTGCATAACATGTTTTCTTGTTTTCAGTACATCACCATAGAACATTTAAGGGCATTATATATGAACCTATATAAATATAACACTGACTGACTGACTGACTTTGGTTTTACGCCGCTTTTAGCAATATTCCAGCAACATCACGGCGGGGACACCAGAAATAGGCTTCACACAATGTACCCATGTGGGGATTCGAACCCGGGTCTTCGGCGTGACGAGCCAACGCATTAACTATAAATATAACAGTTCCTAATGATCAAACTATGATAACTATTACAAACCCTTTCCTATTATTACTCTAATACACGGGGAATTAAGCTATAATACCTTTGCAATGTTCTAAATCACTGAAAAACAAATCCGAATAATTTGTTACAGGATTTTCAATTATGATCTATATTGAAGCATCATGCTCTCTAAAAAGGAACATCATGTCAGTACGAAAATAGAAATCCTATCAATATTACCATCCCAACAAATATATACACCCAAACCAAACAGCCGACAGTGACAATATATACCTTGATGACAGGACCAGCATAAGTTGCTGAGACCCTCGGCAGTGACGATATATACCTTAATGGCAGGATCTGTATACAATGCTGAGACCCCGACAGTGACAATATATACATTAATGGCAGGATCTGTATACAGTGCTGAGACCCTGGCAGTGACAATATATACCTTAATGGCAGGATCTGTATACAGTGCTGAGACCCTGGCAGTGACAATATATACCTTAATGGCAGGATCTGTATACAGTGCTGAGACCCTGGCAGTGACAATATATACCTTAATGGCAGGATCTGTATACAGTGCCAAGACAACGGCAGTGACAATATATACCTTGATGACAGGATAGTGACAATAAATACCTTAATGGCAGGATCTGTATACAGTGCTAAGACAACGGCAGTGACAATATATACCTTGATGACAGGATAGTGACAATATATACCTTGATGACAGGATCTGTATACAGTGCTAAGACCCCGACAGTGAAAATATAGACCATGATGCCAGATCTGTATACAGTGCTAAGACCCCGACAGTGACAATATATACCTTGATGTCAGGATCTGTATACAGTGCCAAGACCCCGGCAGTGACAATATATACCTTGATGACAGGATAGTGACAATATATACCTTGATGCCAGGACCTGTATACAATGCTGAGACCCCGGCAGTGACAACATATACCTTGATGACAGGATAGTGACAATATATACCTTGATGACAGGATAGTGACAATATATACCTTGATGCCAGGACCTGTATACAATGCTGAGACCCCGACAGTGACAACATATACCTTGATGACAGGATAGTGACAATATATACCTTGATGCCAGGACCTGTATACAATGCTGAGACCCCGGCAGTGACAATATATACCTTGATGACAGGATAGTGCAATATATACCTTGATGACAGGATCTGTATACAGTGCCAAGACCCCGACAGTGACAATACAGACCTTGATGCCAGATCTGTATACAATGCTAAGACCCCGACAGTGACAATATATACCTTGATGACAGGATAGTGACAATATATACCTTGATGACAGGATCTGTATACAGTGCTAAGACCCCGACAGTGAAAATATAGACCTTGATGCCAGATCTGTATACAATGCTAAGACCCCGACAGTGACAATTTATACCATAATGCCATGACTTTTATACAGTGCTTTTATTTCTAGCCTGGAATCCAGATATTAAAGTTACCTTTCCAAGAACTGAAACGTAATTGGACGTGGGGAAGAGTTCGGTAGATGGAAATACGGGATAAATTGATTTACAACCAATTCTTGTCATAAGAGGTGACGAACGGGATCGGGTGGTCAGACTCGGGTGACCCTTGTTGACACGTGTCCCAACTGCGTAGATCGATGTTCATGATGTCTGGTCCAGATTATTACAGACCGCCAGATATAGCTGGAATGTTGCTGGGTGCGGCGTTAAACAACAACCCCACAATGTTGCCAACTCAAGTTTAGAACGACCTGTACACGATACGTTTAAACACGAGGACTTACCTTTATAACTTTGTCCCTTCGAGCTGCGAGTGAAACGGTCCGTGTTTATCATAGAGTCCGCCACATAAACCAGTGAATAAATATATCAGAGCACGTATCAGGTCTGGCTCATTTACTCCAGAGGTCAGCTTCAGGATGACTGACAACCACGCATGTTTCCCGTTGCCCGCCCGACGCCGAAATCACTGTTTTTGACATCAAATACACTTGAGGATCTAGCAAGCAGTCATGGAGATACGGTGTGTGTTGACGGCAGCTTACATTCCTCGTAAATATTTTACGAGGTGCTCTTAACAAACTCTATTTGACATTCAGATGAAACATTCATGAACAAAAAGATTCGTACATTTATTTATAAATGACTTATTTCTGTTGTCCCAAAACATACTAGGGTCATATGACATGAAATGTGATAAGTGTTGTTGATACCATAGACACAGAACCATGCTGGGATGAGACCCTAGCATTCGTGCCCATTTGGGCATTGTAAGAAGGGACTTTATTGGAAACAGGTGGAATTCAGGGTAAAAAATGGTCCCTGGGAACCTGGAACCAATTAAGAAGTGACAATGGTTCGAATCATCCGTGTCAAAGTACCACGACGATGTTATCAGTGAAGATCCGGGTTAGAACTGGTCTTCAGCAACCCATGCTTGTCGCAAAAGGCGACTAACGGGATCGGGTGGTCAGGCTCGCTGACTTGGTTGACACATGTCATATAGTATCCCAATTGCGTGGATCGATACCCATGTCAATCACTGGATTGTCTTATCCAGACTCGATTATTTACAGACCGCCGCCATTTAGCTGAAATTTTGCTGAGAGCGGCGTTAAACAAACCCATCACGAGGAGGATCGTTATACAACCATTGGATTGTCTAGTCCACTGTCGGTTGTTCACAGCACGCTGTTCTCTAACCGGAATGTTGCTGTATAGAGCGGTGACTATCAAACAAATACTATCACACGAACACAACACTGGGCTGTGTCATGACAGTGTCACTATTCCCACTCAACCTCGTTTCGTCCATTATAGTACAGTATATAGTATAGTGTTAGTACTTCTAAAATCGTTTAGTTACTTTTGTGGGTGAGTAGGTATGTTTTTGCACTTTTAGCATTATTACAGCAATATCACGACTGGGGACATAAGTAGTGGCCTTATATTTTTTACTTTTGTGCAAAAACGAACCCAGCCTTACGAGCGAACATTTAATCCCGAGGCTGCCTATCGCCCCAAATGTTTATGATGCCCAGGTGAACAATAACTTTGTTTTAACACATTTCAAGAAAACATATCCTGCAAGTAATCTTGTTAAATCCAATCAAAACTCCATATGTAAGGATGTGCAAACAAATCCGTTTACTCTCGTAGGTAATTTCTGGAACCTGAAAACACCATGAAAGTAACATCAGTTGTGAAAGTTGTGCATCACTGCCACTGCTCAGTTTGTCAACAGATGACATATAATTTTTAAATTATAATGTTGCATAAAGAACTACAGTAGCCCACGTGTTACCTGTTTATTTGTTACAGTTAGAGCTGTCCCAAGAGGCAAGTAACACGATTGGGTGGTCATGCTCCGTGACTTGGTTGATGAGCCAACTGAGTGAGCGAGTGAGTGAGTTTGGTTTTACGCCACTTTTAGCAATATTCCAGCAATATCACGGCTGGGGACACCAGAAATGGGTTTAACACATTGTACCCATGTGGGGAATCAAACCCCGGGTCTTCGGCGTGACGAGCGAAAGCCTTAACCACTAGGCTACCCCACCGCCCGATGAGCCAACTGATGCTCATAATGTCAAACACTACTTTGTCTGGTCAATACTAAGATCATGTTCACACCGCTGTCATATATGTGGAATATTACTGAATTAGAATTGGAATAATGCTGTTCAACAACAAACAGACAAAACACAAACTGTTTGAAGAAACTGCTTTATTGGAGGATGATTAGTTGATAGCATTTAGTTCACTTATTTGATTATCTCTATAATATACACAAGATATAGATACACCCACTGGCAGCAATGATGTCTAACCCCCTGGACTAGACATACATGGAATGACAAAACACCTTCAAACAATGTGCAACAGGCACAAAATATGTCTAGTCATCACATTTTCGGATCCCAATTTCGTGAAGTGTACAGTTGACTTCAGATCCCCTCAACTTAAAATCCTTTTTGACAACTTTGATCAATGACCTTGAATAACATATACAATTTATGCCATAGGCTCAATGTACTGGAATTCAACCTTCGAGGACCATTTTCACCTGGATCCCCAAACATCTGTACAATAGTACTCCTATAATTTTTGTAACTCACACAAACAGATTTATGACAGCAGCAACAATCACAATGTTAAAAGTGTTTGAAATTAAGGGGCTAGTTCAGCTTGTCTATGGAATCTGCATCAAGAGACTCCATGAATCATCAACCTTTAACGATACGGTACTGACAACACTCCCTTGAACTCCATGCTTAATTTCAAACACAGGTTGTATGAGAGACCACAGACATCCTTTCACAAAACAATTCTAGCTCGAACTGTGGAGTCTCTGTTTCATAAACCTACACAGTCGTGATCTTCTCATTGACCTGTTTCACAAACCGATGGCAGCACTAAGATCTAACACCAACCCTTTACACAGACTTAGGAAGCCACAGTGTTAAGATCAGTTTGCAGAAGCGGTCCCTGCTTCTAAAGAAAAGTTGTGATGTGCATGCAAGTCCTGAAGCCTTGTTAAAAAATATCTAGGAAAAAGCTGTAACTCTAAGCTACAGCAGCATATCAGTAAGGGATAATATTTCCACGCATGTTCTGTTTACATTAATATTACTGAAAACCTGAAGGATACCAAGCATACAGTGGATGATTCAACACCCAGGCTTGCTGTCACAGTGAGTGAGTGAGCGAGTTGGCTTTTATGCCGCTTTTAGCAATATTCAAGCAATATCATGGCGGGAGACACCAGAAATGGGCTTCACACATTGTACCCATGTGGGAATCGAACCCAGCACTTCGGCGTGACAAGCGAACGCCTTAACCACGAGGCTACCCCACTGTCATATTAGGCTTTTGTAGGGTGCATATTAATTGCTGCAAAACCTACCTATGTTGTAAACCCAAAGTTTGGGAAGCTAAAAACCAATGCATAAAACTAGCGACTGTTGTTCACAAATGATATACATGTCTACGGTTCAGTTTAAGATACAACTCCAATCATTTGGCAACCAGGTAACAAAAGAATTTACAAAAAGAATTGAAACCCAATTTAAAAATACTCTTCAAGCATGAACTATACGTTCAGGGATGTGATAAAATAAGAAAAGTGGAAGGTGGCAACTCACAGAATATGGAGATCCATTATGATTTAGTCACAGAAAATATTAAACCGACATGGCTATTTAGAATTTTTCATAAAAAATGACAAGGTCGACAAACAAATATTGAATTCTTCACAAAGACGAACAATTCAATATTGATCATGACAATATATTTTCCAGATTATTGTTTCACAGCATCAGTGGCTCTTGAGTCCTGTCGCATACCATCAAGGAAGCAGGAACTGACTGCCACAATGATCACGATGATCACAATGAAAAGATTAAACCAGTCTTTACAACACTCACTACTGATAGCAAATACTGACAGGAACCATGAATAAATAAATTTTTCCATCACAAAATTGTCTAAAATAATACAATGAAATCAACAAAACCATTTTAAAGGAATGTGATTATCTTGTCGCAGACAAGGTCACTCCTTAGATGAAGGTGATGCTTAAAGTGTAACTTGTGACAGCACAAAGAACATCTTCGCATAAGGTCACCGCACAATGTTTAGAAAATGCAGCGAACTCAATAATAGGTATTCTCCTTTGCTCCACAAGGACTGTTTTTATGACACTAAGACACCATCTAAGGAAATAGTGAAACTTAAGAAGTAAGGGGCTTACATATACACAAGTATTTCAAAATCTTTGACATTGTCCAACAAAACCGTATGAAATAGAATACACCTGGTATTTGTTAGAAACAGAGGCATAAGTCTAGATAGTCCAAATATTCCATAAAAAAACTGACATGATTATCGTAAACACTTATTCTGAGGGACATACTTATCCCATTCAATGATCTGATACAGATATTTCTGATTATTTCTGAAAACAGAATAATTAACACTTTGTGATTTCTTCTTCAATGATCGTTAAAGTTAACTCTTTTAATACTCATGAAAACGGTGTGTCCCTCGATGACAAGCTTCGTAAGAGCTGACCAAGGTAACACATGGGACATGCATAGAAAGTTGGACTCTTTCCATCTAACATTCACACAAACATCACATATTAACAACTACAAGAAACACATATCACACACGGTGGAAAGAATATTTGTCGTAAGCCACACAGAGTGTGTGACCTCGTCTCCTCTTGTCATAAACACGAAAAGACCTTCGATAACTTTCAATTTCTGTGTAAAATACAACCTGAGGTATGGAAAAAAAAATTTATGCTTGTGCTGTATATATATATATAAAATTTGGAATGTATTTTGGTAAAACATCATGAAAGTAAATTTTGAGAATCACAATCAGAAATGGATAGCCTGAAACAAACCAATATTCATCGGTGATTGTATTTTAAAATTGAAGATTTGCTTATTTGCTTGAAGAATTCACAGATGCACTATGTTCTGGGTTGTCGCAAGTTTGTCCTTCACTCTCTCACGTCAGGACCAAAGGAATTTGTATACATGGACCACATTGAAGGGATACCCCTGTCTCCAAGTGGATATGGATTTTATTACACCAGACACACACAAAGTCTGCAGTCATCACCAACATTACAAGAACTACTTCCCAATATGTGCAGTCAATGTACAACATGTACTGGCAGGTGATGGTAGACCCGTGCAAGGGAAGACTGAAGAATGTGTACGAGTCTGCATGATATACTATACAACTTGCGATGATGGTCCGTTTAATCACTTCTGCAACCTTGCTGACAGCCAGTCGAGGCCTTCGTAGAGCCCATCGCCAGATGTGGCACACGTGTTCTGGATATACCATTGGCGATTACTCTTTGATGTAAGCTCGAGCTTCTCTGTCATTTCAGCCACGTTTATGGCATTTGGCAAATCCTGTAATGGAACAGAAGAAACAATCAGTGGTCATTCTTGACCTCCCAAACGACACACTGCAACATCACTGTTAGAACATGCATTCTGTAAGAGGCGGTGGTCAGGCTCATCGTATCTCAATTGCATAGATTGATGCTCATGATGTTGATCACTGGATTGTCGGGTCCAGACTCGATTATTTACAGACCACCGCCATATAGCTGGAATATTGTTGACTGTGGTGTTAAACAACAAACCAACCAATCAACAAATATGTTGTAGAGTGTCAAAGGTCAGAGATAATATTCTTATATTTTGTGACACACAAAGACATAGACCTAAATAAGACCCCTGAACAACACCAAAAACAAAGATTTCATATGTTCACAAATCACATTCATGACAGTAAATCAGTGCATTATCTCCAAATGAATTTATTGAGATCAGGTGAGGTGAGGTGAAGTTGGGTTTAACGTCGTGCTTGAGAATATTTCGCTCAAGTGACGACGTGCATGTGTGTGTATGTGCGGCTGCTTGTAGTAGCCCAGACTGAAGCTGGTTTTATAGTGCTAGCCCACTGAGATACCATGCCGCAGTGAAGCATGAATACCCCACTCAGACACATTATACTGACTCCAAGCCGACCAGTCCTTGATGTACCCATTAATGCCGAACGCCAGGCAGGGGCCAACAAGTACCATATTTTAACGTCTTTTGGTATGACGTGGTCGGGGATTGAACCCACGACCTTCCGCTCTCCGGGACACGCTCTAACCACTACACCACGGAGGTGGTCTTATTGAGATCAGATATTGTACGGTAATATGAAGCCTCTCTGCATGAAGACCTAAGGTAAATTTATAGATCGTTCAGAGTAAAACATCAGATGTTAATAAGTTTTAAAATGTGATCTATTACAGATGCAGTGGAATACAACCCACCTGTTTATTGGCAAACACAAGCAGCACTGCTTCCCTCAGCTCATCTTCGTTCAACATCCTGTTGAGCTCGTCTTTAGCTTCCTGAAGTCTCTCCCTGTCGTTACTGTCGACTACGAAGATCAAGCCTGCAGCAGATACAACATCACGTGACCCATAGTCAGAAACACACAAAAACCTGTTAAACAGTTTTCAGAGGAACAGAAGCCCCTGTGAATCTGTGTGGAGACAAGGTAGACAGTGAGCTTAGAGACCGTTCATAATTTATGGCTGGGGGCATGAGTGAGTGAGTGAGTTTAGCTTTACACCACACTCAGCAATATTCCAGCTATATGGCGGTGGTCTGTAAATAATCGAGTCTGGACCAGACAATCCAGTGATCAACAGCATGAGCATCGATCTGCGCAATTGGGAACCGATGACATGTGTCAACCAAGTCAGCGAGCCTGACCACCCGATCCCGTTAGTCGCCTCTTAACGACAAGCATAGTCGCCTTTTGTGGCAAGCGTGGGTTGCTGAAGACCTATGCTACCCCGGATCTTCACGGGCTCTGGGGGCATGATCATGTTTATAGAGAAGCATGTACAATGTGAATGACCCCCAAAATTTATGTACAAAGTGACCCCCTGCATGTCTTGTACAAAATCAATGAGTGAGTGAGTTTAGTTTTAAGCCGCACTCAGCAATATTCAAGCCATATGGCGGCGGTCTGTAAATAATAGAGTCTGGACCAGACAATCCCGTCATCAACAGCATGAGCATCGATCTGCGCAATTGGGAAACGATGACATGTGTCAACCAAGCCCTCGAGTCTGACCACCCGATCCTGTTAGTCACCTCTTACGACAAGCATGGGTTACTGAAGGCCAATATTCTAACCCGGACCTTCACGAATCACAAAATCAATGACAACCCCATAGTACATGTGCACCAAACTGATGACCCCACTACCTAAATTATGAACGGTCCCTTATACATTGTCTCCAAGAAGTACAAAGTCTCCATTGATAACCATGGGTTGATAACCGTGGAAACAGTATCCTTTATGAAATACACCACAGGGTTCGAAATACCCCATATAACGGTATTAGCATGCCATGGCATGGTAAATATTGAAATAGCACGGATAAACATGTTCTCGGTGGCTTTGGGGCACGCCTAATTTTGGGGGCACATAATTCACCTTTAGTCACCTAATCCCCAACACAAAACACTTACGCAAATGACAAACAAGCAAAAACATTTACTGACTTTATCGCGGAGGAAATCACTGGAATTATGATGGATGATCTGGTTGTTTTTCCATTTAGAGTGATGGGGGTACTAATCGTTCGGTTATTGAAGAAATTTTGTATGTTAGACATACTGAACAAGTGAACCTGTCACAAAATTCTTAGCTAGTAAAGGAAAGCAGAACAAATTAAGCTTAAGAAAGCCATCTTAAACAGAAGACATATCAGTGATAACAGAAAACAGGTTTCATTTGTTATTTACTATAAAAGATTCAAATAATTATATCATTGCTACAGCCATCTATTCTAGAAACATGTGGGCACACTTGATTTCTGAAAGGCACATCTAAAATATTTGCCTGGTGCCCTAAGGCACACTTAGAAAAAAAGTATTTCTATCCCTGACACCATTCGCACACAAGAGCTAAAATAAATGGTGAGCGTAATACATATCACAAATACTGGGCAACGAATGCGATTATTCAGTAATAAATACAATAGCAGTCAGCAGTTGATATATTATTCATTATATTCAGTGAAACAGTAACAAACCACATTCTTTGTTTTAACCAATATATCACTACAACCACCAGTGACCACATCACTGTCAAATTAAATATATGACAGTATTTACTCTCCTGCTTGGTTGGGATCTGTTCCATTCTGCATATTTTACTGGGATAAATAACACCAAATTCAAGCAATAACATTTTAAAAATGCACGAATATTCCATTCTAGTGACCATGAATAATAAATGGAGTGAGTGAATATGAATTTATGCCGCTTTTAGCTATATTTCAGCAATATCAAGGCGGGGAACACCGGAATTGGGCTTCACACATTGTACCCATGTGGAGAATCGAACCCTGGTCTTCAGCGTGATGAGCTGACACTTTAACCACTAGACTACCCCTACTGCCCTGAATAACAAATTGAATGCAAGGAGGGATATGGTTCGAATTACCAACCCTGTTAGTGAATGGTAGCAGCCATATTAATTACAAGGCTACACAATGCTAAACAGCATTCCTTACAACAAATTCTCGGATTCATTTTCCAGTGTTGACATCTTTCCTTTAGAAATAAAGTCAAAACTCAAATGTACATGTTTCATAATATTACCCCAAGGTAGTGAATGAATGCAGCTGTCTCTACCCAATCCTTACCTTGAGTGTTCTGGAAGTAGTGTCTCCACAAAGGTCGGATCTTGTCCTGACCTCCAACATCCCACACTGTGAAGCTGATGTTCTTATATTCCACAGTCTCAACATTGAAACCTGGAAAAATATTCAGTAGAGGTGTAATGATACTATACGTATCCTGACAATACAGGTGCAATCACGATACTTATCTGACAATACAGGTGCAATACGATACGTATCCTGATAATACAGGTACAATACTATACGTATCCTGATAATACAGATGCAACACGATACGTATCCTGATAATACAGGTGCAAAACGATACGTATCCTGACAATACAGGTGCAATACGATATGTATCCTGATAATACAGGTACAATACGATACGTATCCTGATAATACAGGTACAATACGATACGTATCCTGATAATACAGGTACAATACGTACTTAACCTGATAATACAGGTGCAATACCGCGATCCGATATCCTGATAATACAGGTATACACAGGTGATAATACAGGTGCAATACAATATGTATCCTGATAATACAGGTACAATACGATACGTATCCTGATAATACAGGTACAATACGATACGTATCCTGATAATACAGGTACAATACTATACGTATCCTGATAATACAGATACAATACGATAATACATCCTGATATCCTGACAATATGTTATCCTGATAATACAGGTACAATACGATACTGTATCCTGATAATACAGGTACAATACGATACGTATCCTGATAATACAGGTACAATACGATACGTATCCTGATAATACAGGTGCAATACGATACGTATCCTGATAATACTGATAATACAGGTACAATATCCTGATAATACAGGTACAATACGATACATATCCTGATAATACAGGTACAATACAATATGTATCCTGATAATACAGGTGCAATACAATATGTATCCTGATAATACAGATGCAACACGATACGTATCCTGATAATACAGGTACAATACGATACGTATCCTGATAATACAGGTACAATACTATACGTATCCTGATAATACAGGTGCAACACGATACGTATCCTGATAATACAGGTGCAATACGATACTTAACCTGACAATACAGGTGCAATACGATACGTATCCTGATAATACAGGTGCAACATGATACATATCCTGATAATACAGGGACAATACGATACGTATCCCGATAATACAGATGCAATACAACATGCACCCTTATAATACAGGTGCAATACGATACGTATCTTGATAATACAGGTGCAATACGATAAGTATCTTGATAATACAGGTGCACTACGATACGTATCCTGATAATACAGGTGCACTACGATACGTATCCTGATAATACAGGTGCAATACGATACGTATCCTGACAATACAGGTGCAATACGATCCGTATCCTGATCAGTACTTATATTTAATAAGATCATATTCTCTCTTTTGTAGGTGAATAACATCCTGAATCATTTGTTTTGAAATATCAGGCAGTGAGGATGTGATATTGTAGGTGAGAAACATATGAGCTGGGAGCAGTGTGTAATTTCTGTGATTTATAGCCAGCCAGGAAATACTAGAGAATCTGCTATCTAATGTGTATGTGTGAATCCTACAGTCCCATACACCCTTTCAAAACAGTGTGACGAATTTATTACCCTTAAGATCTTCTAATTTAGCTTATCTTTACACAACAACATTCAACCTCTGGCAGAATGAGACGCAAAACGTTTCACCATGATTTTTTTCCTGAACGGTCAAAAAGGGAGACAACTCGGGATGGCTTAGTTTATGATAAAAAAATGATCGAATTTGAGGTTTTGTTAAAGGACAAGTGAAATGCAGATACATTTTATTTTTTGGATATATAATTATTTGGGGTGAAACAGTATAGCGGTATTAGTTGAACCACGGTATTTTGCCTTCGGTTCGGTATACCATAATGCAATCCAAAAATTCAGCATTTTCGGTTTTCGTACCGTCGTTTTATTAACCTTTTTAAACCTTTTCTAATTTGTCTAGAAATTGAATCATTTCTTAAAATCTATGTATTTCTTTGCTAGATGGCCGCCATGTTCCTTGAAATAAGTTTCAGATCGCCTCAAGTCATCTACTTACAAATCAGCAACACAGCAACTGCAGATAACAAATAAGTGGCTGGGTTCTGTTTCTTTTTCGGTTATTTCAAATCAGACGAACAGCGGAACATCGTAATAACTTATAAAAGACAACTTTATCATAAAGACATGCCATCAGCCGAGTACTTGCGATGTTTGCCGTGTTGCAACTCATCGCGTTATAGCTCGGGTAAATATTGCCATCCGAAAACGTATGTCAGAAAACTCATAATAAAACGATCTTCCTCGATTTCATTTTATTTGATTAAATTTAATCCCATTTACATTCATTAAAACTGTTCACAGTAACATCGGAGAAAACGTGTGTGAAATGGCATCACCTCATTCTATAGGCACACAACTTCCTCTTGCCTTGTTCATGAGGGTCCGCTTTTCACGCCTACCGCAATAGCATCAATTTCACATTATTGTCAGCAATCACGAACTGATTACCGCCTCGTCATCCATGACCCTAGACTCGCGTTATTGAAGTCATATTTAACAATTAATTGCCAACATTTTGTTTTTACAATCAAAGTGGCACTTAGCGCGGAAAGTCAACGGTGACTTGTCAAACTGTCTCCTACATAAAAGCGTATCCAGCCACGTAACCCAAAGTGCTGAGCCTATGTTAATTATCATGTTAAATATTTTCGTAGAAAACATGTATTATACTAATACAATAGCAATATAGATTATCTTTGTTAAAATAACTGCTTAAGATATAAATTATTCTGATAATGGAACAGAAATTCATTGATGTTATATTTTTGGGTCGTTTTAATGGAATCACTGTTACGTTGAAAAAACACACGTGAGCACAGCTGATTGCTATTTCCGGCTCAGTTGAATTACAGGTACCATAACAGGAACAACACTTCAATTATCATGTCTAGTGATGTTTGATTGCAACTTTCCGGTACATATATCTATTTTCATTTACAAAGTTTTGTGTTTTTTCACCTCCGACGATACGATATAGTTTGGACTGGGCACAACACACAAGTAGTAGTTGTGTTCTGTCCATGGAAAATCTGATCTTACTTGGCCTTTTTCCTGTGTTTTGTATAACATAGGGGTCATACATGGACCCCAAGACCCGCGTTATGGCGACGGATGACTGCAATTATGGGTATGGATCTGGTGGCTTTCCCAACACAGTTGCTAAGCCTTATGTTTGTTAGTTGTTGCTACCACAGCACAAAGATCTGAGATTATCTCATTGCAAGCTATATCAGAACAATGAACCTGTAATGACCAATAAAAAGAGAAAGCAGCATTCTAAATCTGAAACATATTTGTTTCAAAATGGAGAATTACATTTCTGAGTGAAATTTTGAATAAACTGAAAACTGAGTAAAACAAAATTCTGGAATGTGCCAAGATTTTGTAGCAGTACAAGGACTTTGGAAAGTCTCTAAATTTTTAACCGACTGAAACTAAAGATAGACAATGATTTAGAACAAAGACAATGATCAGCCACACAGACTGTAACTGTGTTATGAAAACTGTGTTATATTAATTTGTTTAATATATTTAGCTGTGATATGTCATCAACAGTCACATTCGACAAGGTCAGATTTGTGTATTGTTATTTCAAAACATGAACATTTCTGGGACGTGGTGACTTCACTTGAGTAAACATTGATGTGATGGCTACTTGCTATTTTGCCACACAGCAGCTGTGGGCTCCAAGGTTCCAGTGATACGTTAGTTCTTCTATCTTGTCATGAAATGACAGTTTTGTTCATTCAAAATAACAAAGATTATGGTTATTTTTCCCGAGGTATTCAACAATGTAAAGTTTGGCTCTTGTTGTCAATTTTCTGCATTATGATCCAATCTCATATACCGAACCGAAACGGACCAAACCGAAGGCCTTGTACTGCAATACGTACCGTACTGTGGTAAGAGCGTACTGTTTCACCCCTAATATTTATTAACACAAACAAATAAGAAATTATGAAACAATTTTATTACTCTATTTATACTCATTATTGTATACGCCAACTCCAAAATTTCAAAGCGATCAGCCGTTTGGCAGCCACATTCCATCTAAGGTCAAGGTCATTCGAACAACCTGTGTAGTGTGTCGCTTGACAGATTTTACAGGGTGTACGCTTTGTACACCCTGGCAAATCCGCCTACATGGTTTGGTATACTTTGGCTATTGACCAATCAGAATTCGACAAATTTATCGTAAGGATAATAATGTATCATATGTATTAGGAGTTGGAAATCAATGTATTGTATCCTAAGCCTCGAATCGTGATACAACACTGTGTTGCTCCATGCTGTATCACTACACCACTAATAATCAGACTATACGATATAGTGAACGCGTCATTGATATACAGTGGAAGCTGTCTAAACCGGCACTCGTAAGGACTGAAGAAACAATCCGGTTTAGACAGCGTGCCGGATTGTAGAGCTGACACAGTTACCTACGACTAGAACTGAATCAGTTTTGTCACTCTCATATACATTGTTGTATCACGTGGTTCTCTCAATTACTGCACACACTGACAATAAAAGACAAATATTTGAGCTCATGTGTCAACTCATTAATTACATGTACAAATACACCCATACAGAACTAAGATTAAATTATCTTTGTCGGCAACCATGTAGTTTCAACGCAGGATTAATTAGTGACAATACACATCCGACCGACTCCTCGCCACGCGTGCCGAATTAGACAGCGCTGATTACTGTATCAACTCATATTTAGGCGGCTCATTTCATGCCGAGGTCCAGAATTGACAGCTGTTGGTATGATCTAACAGAATCCATCCCAACAGTGAAATACTAGTAGTGTATCCATGAACTACTATCCAGCCATCTGTCATGTCTGTGTCTCATGTGTTAACTCCATTACATTAACCATGTTATTGTTAACAGTATAACCATAACATTCTGCAAAGGTGAATGTATGGACAATTACCAACAAAATACATTAAACAATGTTAAGACGGTTCACCAATCACCGTGGAAATCCTTCCTTTTCAACTCGACTGCTGCTAACTAGCTTGAATGGTGATCACATGATGAAACATATATCAATTATCATGTGTATAAAGACAACTTTTAACAAGCATTGTCACTAAGGTGACATAATCCCCCGCCGCAAATTATCAAATCAAACTTACAAAGTAATGAAAGTTTAAGGTGAAGTTAAATGTCAACAAAAACATGACCAGTCAACCTCTCTTGATATCTTGCTCTTTAGTTGTTCAAACACACACGTTTTCAAGACTGACTTTGACCTTGACATGAATGTCATAGTGTATGAAATATGCACAAATAGTACTAGAGAAATTGCTTATTGAAAAACATTCAAGGGAAGTCTTGAAAGTCTATGAAGAAAATCCAGTGAACCGTTTTTGAAATTTCTTACTGACAATTCAGGTTAACAAGCTGAAATCTTCAAAGTGCCGTTGTGAACCTGAATATTACGTGCAGGTCACCAAAATTGACTGGGCCCTGGCCCTTCCCTAGATGAAGCTTGGTGTCAAATATGAAGAAACTCCAGTGAATATTTTTTACGATATCTTGATGACTATCTTAACATGCAATTTAACATGCTGAAATCTTCAAAGTGTCTCTGTGACCTTGAAAATTGAACAAAATCCAGTGAAGGTCACCAAAATCATAACATGCACTGAAATCCCTGCACCTCCCCTAGATAAGCACCAAAATTGGTATTGAATATGAAGAAAATCCAGTGAACGGTTCTTGAGATAGCTTAACATGCAGGTAAAATGTTAAAGTCCCCTTGTGACCTTGAAATGAAGGTCAAGGTCACCAAACCTGATTTGGACCTTTCTTATACTGTGATGAACCTAGGTGCCAAATATGAAAAGAATCTAGTGAACGGTTCTTAAGATATTCCAATTCGTACAGACGGACGGACAGAGCCTGATACTTAAAAATCCCTGAAACCACATGGATAGCTCAACAACTGACAACAGACTTGGTCTAGTGCTAGTGTCAGAGTACAATGTCACTTTTTTCACTAACTGTACCAGGTCCAATCTGGTGAATTAATCAGGTTCCACCATCAAAATGCTCTATGTTATTAACAACGGGTCAGCAATCAAATGGGGTGAAATCCCTTGCAGTTTATTCACTCTGGATTAAAACAGATCAAAGAAGATTTTAACTGTATGTAGTTAACCCGAGGCAAGTTGTTCAGTCCACTATCTATTATCTAGTGGTGGTCCAATTCATTGAAATAATCGAAGATTGGTCGCAGTGACTAAACGACCAAGCAATCGAACATGGTTTCTCAAATCGAACGCAACCAATCTTGGAACACTTGTTTGCATCAACAACATTATTCATAAGGTTGGTTTTGTCTGTGTCATTAAGTTTACATTTCATAAGCACCACAAGCTCCTTACGAGTCATGATTGAATTTATGTTAAAGAATCCAGGAAATCTGTGTTCCTAACATACTAATCTTCCTTTAAAAATTCGAAATTTGCAAATGGATTTTGTGCAATTTGGAAAAACCCAAATTACATGTTTTTTCTTTATTTTTTTGTGTGCATTAACAAAGATAACAGGAACATTTGATAAATGACGCTAACCAATTATTTTCGATGATTGATCGGTTGTAATGGACCAATCATCAATTATGAGATTTTAACCAATTCCCAACACTACTATTGGCTTCCCATTTCGCCTACACCCTTATCAAAATATGTTTACCTATTGTTGGGATGGTTGTGACAATTTCTCCTAGTTTCAACTTGTACAGGATGGTGGTCTTTCCAGCAGCATCCAGGCCAACCATTAATATTCTCATCTCCTTCTTGCCAAACAGCTTCTGGAACAGGGACTGAAGTCCGCCCATCTTAAAGCCTCTGAAATAAAACATACAATGAGTGAAATGAGAGGAGAAGGCAATTTCTCTGACAATGGACGGATCCTTAAGTTTCAATTATGTAAGAGCACAATGACATCAGAAAGACATGTTGTGAAATAAATCATTTAACATGTTAATTTGCTTTTCGGAAAGGAAGGCTTTTTTCTCAGCCAACATATCTAATTGATACAATAAACCATTTTGAGCAATTAAATGTAGTTATAGTCTGGAGTTTTACAGTTATAAATACTACTGTAGCAGATGACAAGAACTTGTGAAATTTCAAGGTCAACACTGTGATTGATCTGATTAATTGTATATTCATCCTTGCTTATCAAAGAATCTCTATTGTAGTCACTAAAAGATACATCTCTATTCTACATATTCTTTGATAAACACTATCGCTCACAATACATAGATCAATAATCAGAGCTTAGTAATTGATCAATAATTGATTGTAATTAGACACACCACCACAAAACACATGTGGGCAATTAATGTAATACAATTGTCACATTGTGCAAATAAAACAGGCACTGATTTTTACTACAATCTAGACAACTGAGGATACTTCCTGCTGAGATACGCATGTCAGTATGTTGTTTACATTGCAGTTTAATGAGTCAGGAAACAGCATCAGTTGTTTATATCTTGATTTAACAAACACAGCAAAAAGAAACATCCTTTCCAAAGTTTAACTGGATGGTTCTTTTGTTATGAATGTTGATTAGTCTCCAGAGCCCATCAATAATCACTGACGCAAGCGAAATGGTTTCATTGACTGATTATTCAATCAATCGCTCAAACACTAATACACACCATGGGCCCATTCTCTACCATGTCTTTATTTCAGGTCTTGTTTGAATTTTGAATGAGTGACAATTTAAAGACACTTCAGTGACACTTCGACCAAACTGACAAGAACAATTTACATATTATGTTATGAGAGTGTGTTTTTTGTCATTTGTATTATCATTGATTAAGTGATAGTTATTATGTGTCACTATGTTCAAAGTTTTGAGTGTGGGTTGTGGGTCACATTTCGCATCATATATGTTCAATGGCAATAGTATTTTAGCGGCATGCCTTTTTGATAGCACTTCCGAGTTGCCTCCCCTGGGGTGGAAATAACTTTAAAATTGCTAGGGTACCCCGGTACAGTGGCACATGTAAAATCACTTGCCCTGATCATTTTTCCACTATACCGGCCGTTTTCTTGTTGATTTTTAAAATAAACAACATTATTAACATTGGAAAGTCAACTGGACACCAGTACAGTCTGAGTGTGATATACAAATTTGCTTGCCCGACAGGAAAAAACACTGGACTTGGACGGTTATTTCCACCCCTGCTCCTATGGATTGTTTATTTTGTTTTGTCATGCCACATGTTCAACATGATTCATGAATGTTCTGAGTGGATAAAGAATGTCCTAGACTCTGTGTCAGTATAGATATAAAGGCTCGTTGTTGTGCTGACACACACACACGGAACACAATCCAGTGATCAACATCATGAGCATCAATCTATGCAATTGGGATACAATGACATGTCAACCAAGTCAGCGAGTCTGACCACCCAATCCCGTTAGTCACCTCTTACAATAAGCATGAAGTACTGAAGATCAAATCTAACCCCAATCTTCACGGGTGTTATACATATATTTATAAGGAACACATATAAAAATTATAATCTATAACATCCTATCGACAATGGACAGTATAATAACTAGAGTATCACAGTTATACAATTAAAAACTAGCATGTATCATAAAAAATATCACCATACAGAATCTAAACGACAACATAAAAACGGGCTATAGATCGCCAGCAATTGAAGGTAGATCAAAGTATCAGGGACCACAGGGACTTTTATCCTCGATAATCACCAGGGTATATGTTCTGATAAATCTTCTCTACACCCTGGATGCATCTACGGCTCGAGTCGATGATTTTATTACCTCCCTTTGCTGGCTCCGCATTCTCACAGTAGCCAATCAGATAAGCTGCTGTTACAACCAAGCTTGCCAGTGTCAACAAAGATTGCGATCGCAGCCGCGAAAGTTTGTTCGCAGTTCGACTCAGATTTGGGGGGAAATCATACAAATTAACAGGTCTGAAATCTTAAAAATATATATGCAAGAACTCTTTCTACCTCTTTCAGAGTACCTCTACAACAATATATTATTATGTTGCCAAGTTTAATCGGTTAGATATTTCATAAAGCAAAAGTGAGTTGTGATTGGTACAGCTCATCTTCCCAGCGTAGACACCTGATTGGGTAAAAAGCCAACCAAGGGAGGTAATAAAATAATTGGCTCGAGCCGTAGATGCATCCAGGGTATAGTAGAGATTTATCGGAATGTATACCCAGGAGATTATCGAGGATGAAGGACTTCATGTACCTTTGCTACCTGTATGGACTGAAGTTGGATATAAATCATCCCTTAGGCCCCCAAAAATAAATGTTGTGGTTCCGATTTCCTACATTTCAGAACTAGGGCAGGTAAGTAGGTAGGGTTTTTGGTTTTTTTGCAAAATATTATTACATTACTCATGTGTCAGAAAATAAATTTAATTTATTATGTGGTGAGTAAAATTGTTAGGCTCGGTGGGAATATTTAGGGTCGGTCGGGAAATCGGAACCACAAGCTTTTTTTTTAGGCCTTACAGATGTTGCCGATTACCTGCGAAATTTAGCCAAACATTAAATAAACACAGAATGATAGATATGAGAATAATGTGAAAGACACAGTGTCAGGGTGACACAATTTAAACGGTATTTCAATCCTGCCAAGAGCACTGACACTGACAATCTAAATTAGTTATCATCATACACTACCAATTTATATAATATCAGTGTATGAAATAAGGCCCGTCCGACCGCCTGAGACGGGCTAGATTTCTGACGGACGGTCTAAATTTACAGCAAGCCAGCCCGATGGTCTGGTACAAATTTTAGATGTTCCATACATCTGAGTAAATTCAAGATATTTGGTCTGGTTAAATCCATTTTGGGCTGGTAACATTTTGAAGTTACCAGTCCTGATGTCTGGCTGGATTTTTGGCTTATTCCATACACTGATAATATCTAATGATAAACATCAAAATGTTCAAGTTATTTCAATTTTGAATCTCTGAACGGCATTTAGAAGTGATACACACAAGGGCGAGAATTTATGGATGTCAACTCCTTTATTTGAGAAACATGACGTATCAGACTCAGAGTATATTCTTAGTGCTTCATCAGATGAATGAAAGAGTAAGTAAATACTCTGACATGACGTGTTCCTCAAATAAAGAAGTTGACATCCATAAATCCTTGTCTTTATATACATTTTCTTTAAAAGAAATACAATAATTACACAAAAACTAACACTAGCAAAAATATCTTCAACATATTGAAAGATGATTGAAGTAGCATATTAATAATGTCAATTCCCAAGAGAGGAAATTTCTAAAGGCCGCAATTCTTTATCAGGTCAAGAACCAAGTCATGTTAAACACACTTACGTCAAATACAGGTATGCTCATTTGTGACAAAACAGAAGTTGTAGAAGTGTTAAAAGAAAGTAAATGAACAGTGAGGTGACCAAAGGCCCAGATAAGCTGCATATCCGGGTAAAATATGCATAGAAAATTTCCAATTACGCATTGAAAAATACTTTTTGCGTACCAATTATGCATTTAAAATGTTAGATACGCGAAAAGTTTTGAACAAATGCGTACGGAATATATTAATAAAAATCACTTGCGTAATGAAAAGCACATCGATTGCTATCAAGTTGTACTGTTAGTATAGGACTAGTGTTGTACTGTCAGTATAAGATGAGTGATTTTTATGAAATCATTTTCATTATATTTAAGTTGGTTTTGATTAGGTATGACATAAGGCAGAACATACCTGCTTAGTAAACTTACTCAATGACATAATACTCAGGTGAGTAAAATGATTGAAATACACACTTTTTTTAAAGCAGTGGGTAATGGAAAATGAAATACCCACTCAAAATTCACAATACCTACTCCAAGAAAATACAGTGGGTACAGTACCCACATGAGCTAAATCTTATCTGGAGCTCTGGGTGACTCTTCCCCAGAATATTGATCTTTAAGAGATGTGGAGATTTGGAGTTTCCAACACTAACAGTGTTCAAGAAAACAGTTGTACGCTTCATGCTGCTTTTTCTGGATTAGTAACAGTTATTGTTCAGTTTTATGCCACTTTAGACAATATTCTAACTTTACTATGGCATGAGAAGGGCACCAAGCAGATCTGTACATGTGACAACTGAACTCTCTAACCACAAGGTCATCCCATCATCTCTTAGTCTTATGATAACTGAATTGAAATTTGACATTTTTACTACACAGTTACATCTGAAACATTGTTTTACTCAATATACCATGAATACGCCAAGAAATGTTGCTGAAGCATAAAATGTAAATTTCTAGTTTGAAATGACTAGGGATGTCGGCAAGTTTGAACTAAACAATTATTGAAAATACAGTGGGACTTGTAAGGTTGGTTGGGCTAGAATGCACTTTACCGGGCGCAGCCCTCGCTGCTCCCTTTACAATCCTTAGGGTTAGGGTCTAGGGTAAGGGTATGCCACCCTTTACGATCCTTAGGGTTAGGGTTTAGGGTTAGGCACCCTTTACGATCCTTAGGGTTAGGTTAGGGAACCCCAGCAGCGGTAATTAATCTGAAAAAGTGCGCCCGGTAAAGTGCAGTACTCCCGTTTGCTGTAGCAAATCTACACGTTTTGGCCAGTTTCAGCTCCATACTCTAACTTGTCATGTTCATGCACGTTCACAAATTATGTGTAGAAGACCAATCTGTGCGGTGTGCATATTTAATGAAAAACACACCCCAACTTCTCAATCGCATTACTTCCAACTTTAGGAGACGGCCATTTGAAAGGATAAGAATGAGAATAGCGAATAATACCCCCATTCAATCCCCCAAATCTGCTACCATGCCACACCCACTTCAGAACACGCTGATCAACAAATATTGTACAAAACAATTCTTCACCAACACCATCATTGGTCTGTTAACGATATATCGACGATAAAAATAATAACTTAAACATGCTTGGGATTCCAGGAGAAAGAGAGAGAAATATAAAGAATGCGGAATTCAGAAATATGTGTCACCAGTTCAGGTAAAAGATTGTGTTGTCAATTGACGTCTTGTCAAGGATTAAGTTACTCATTAACTCACCTGTGGAACGTAGACCAAAGTTTCTCGCAACCTTCTTCAGTGGTGTTTGGTAGTTTCTGGTACTTGCTAACGATAAGATTGAAGGCAGATTTATACAAAATACTCGTTTAATGAGTCGCCAGCTTATCAACACACCGAAGTTGGCGACATAAAATGGCGGACGTGGAGAAAACCACGTTAACTAGAGTTACCTCTCTTTGTTGGGTTTAACTGAAAGCGTATTATCATTAAAACGGACGTGCATATCTAAAACGGATACGGAAGGATTTTATTCTGTAAACTAGGGGATATTAATTATGATAGACATCAACTGAGAGAGCATATTCAAGTTCTGGGACACCAGAGTACTTGAATTTTGACATTTTGTGTGTTTGATATCTTTGCATCTTCACTCATGCAAGCATTGCCCCAAAAACATTGGGGGGAGCTGAGAGTCTAAAGCTTCGTCACCACTCGCCCCTTTCAGTGCTATTCGGATTGTCTCGGAATAACACGAGTTGGTCACGAATGAAACTTCACTTGTAACACAATTTCAAAATATCAACGAATATATGATGAAAGCATATAGATTGGTGCTTTTTTTAACTGACATTTTTATAAATAAATTTCTGTCTTTTTTCCGCGTGTTAAAATCAAATTGTCTACCATTACAAGTGATGCATTACACGATAACAACATCGTGGAGAAGGAGGGTATGTCACTCTACGATGTTGAGGGTGGTTTGTTGTTTAAAGCCGCACCCAGCAATATTCCAGCTATATGGTGGCGGCCTGTAAATAATCGAGTCTGGGCCAGACAATTCAGTGATAATGATACATGTTGATACGTTAATGGCATTAGATTTACAAGCATGTTCAATCTTGGACACTATTGTCATTTCGGAAAGCATGATCGTAATGAGATACATACTTGACAAAATAAGAGAAAGTTACACACACGTTCCACATGTTCAAGTATGTACATATGGCAGAGACATTGTTGAGGACATTGTAAATGATAAACCAGTTTCAGAACGGATTTAACATGATAGGGTAGATCTCTGTATAGCGAGCTCATTCGACTTCAACAGAAAAACGAACGTGCCAGGCTCTGGGGGCTCTTGTTATGGTCAAAGGGAGATAACTCCATCTTGGGACTTGTTTTTGCATTAATGGGCAAAGGGAGACAATTCAATCTCCCGGTACCAACCTCCCGTGCAACGGGCAGTTTTAGATTTTGTCTCGTCACCTGGAAAATATGATGTAATCTAGACAGGCTCTCAAGTGGCTTGGGCAGATTTAGTTCTGTGATTTAAAATCATTTTTAACGCTCTGTCATCTTAACCTACTGCTATTTTAATTAATAGGTATTTCATGTTTCAGAAATGGAAGTGATTACTTAAAGTTTTTAATCCGTAACACGAAGCAGAGTTTCGTCGATATAAGTATACGTCTATCAAAAGGAATATTGATAATGTTGTCGGTTCTTTTATGTTAACTAAACGATTCCTTTTGGGGATGAAATTACGTATGATGTTATATTAAGTCAAGTCAATGTGTTGTGTGCAAATAGGTCTCTTATTGGCCCACGTCGCCTTAAAACTATAAACCAACCAACCAACAACCAACCTCCCTTTGAATCAATGGACATATATGTCTTATAATGTGTTTACACGGTCAGCTTCCCTTCCCTTGATGTACGACAGTGTGTTGTATGGAAGGAGATGTCTCCCTTTGATCACAAATACATCAACCACCGTCACATGGTCCTTCGCGTGCCTATGCTAAATCTTGTTATCGAGGTAAGAAAATCGCATAAGGGATGTTGTTGTTGGTGGTGTTTTTTTTATTTTGGTGTTTCATACACCGTGCACAGACAAATATCAGTTTCATTCTGGTCCAACCTGCTTATTGTTTATCGGTAAGATTCGTAGTGTCAGTTATTCCCGGACAAGCTGAATACCAACTCGTGCACCTCTGAAAAGATTCCATATTGGCGTATGGACATCAGCACAACTTCAAACAAGAACGATAACTCGTGTAATGCCAAGAGTAATATATATTACTGAAGCACTCGAAAAATTCGTTGTAAGAATCGCAAATGGGGATATTTTCCCATGAATATGCAAATGAAGTAACATTTTATTAGAAAGCTGTAATAGTCCCAAAATAGATACACAAAAATGTCTTTAGAATATATCTCAAACTGTACAATTTGTAAAGAGTCATATTATGTTTTAGTGTATTTTGCGGTTCTTAAACCGTATGTTTCGAGAGTGAGAGAGAGAGTGATGTATGCATGATTTCTTAACCAAACAAACTTAATGTTGTATTATCTACATAGCGAAATGTGTGACATATTGGTTATATATAATAGATCGAGGTTCACAAACACTTGTACTTACCACTTTAATAGCAGTCAAATTAGACAGAATTAGACAATACTACATATGTCTGATTTGTTTAAAGCGTTCACAATACTGTTTCAAAGTATTGTACACTCTACGTACACAGAATTAATGTTTAGAACTTAAAGCAACAGACGCATACAGTTTGGTTTGAGAAGGCGATTAATTTTATATAAAAGTAACAACAACAAATAAATTATGTCAAGAGGAAAGGGAAAAGTAACATCGACAAATAGATTATATGTCTACAGGAAAGGGAAAAGTAACAACAACAAATAAATTATGTCAAAAGAAAAGAGAAAAATAACAACGACAAATAAATTATGTCAAGAGGAAAGGAAAAGTAACAACGACAAACAAATTATGTAACAACGACAAATAAATTATGTCAAGAGGAAAGGGAAAGTAACAACAACAAATAAATTATGTCAAGAGGAAAGGGAAAGTAACAACGACAAATAAATTATGTCAAGAGGAAAGGGAAAGTAACAACGACAAATAAATTATGTCAAGAGGAAAGGGAAAGTAACAACGACAAATAAATTATGTCAAGAGGAAAGGGAAAGTAACAACGACAAATAAATTATGTCAAGAGGAAGGGAAAAGTAACAACGACAAATAAATTATGTCAAGAGGAAAGGGAAAGTAACAACGACAAATAAATTATGTCAAGAGGAAAGGGAAAGTAACAACGACAAATAAATTATGTCAAGAGGAAAGGAAAGTAACAACGACAAATAAATTATGTCAAGAGGAAAGGAGAAAGTAACAACGACAAATAAATTATGTCAAGAGGAAAGGAAAGTAACAACGACAAATAAATTATGTCAAGAGGAAAGGAAAGTAACAACGACAAATCAATTATGAATTATGTCAAGAGGAAAGGGAACAAGTAACAACAACAAATAAATTATGTCAAGGAAAGGGAAAGTAACAACAACAAATAAATTATGTCAAGAGGAAAGGGAAAGTAACAACAACAAATAAATTATGTCAAGAGGAAAGGGAAAGTAACAACGACAAATAAATTATGTCAAGAGGAAAGGGAAAAATAAATTATGTCAAGAGGAAAGGAAAGTAACAACAACAAATAAATTATGTCAAGAGGAAAGGAAAGTAACAACGACAAATAACAATTATGTCAAGAGGAAAGGGAAAAGTAACAACAACAAATAAATTATGTCAATTACAGGAAGGAAAGGAAAGTAACAACAACAAATAAATTATGTCAAGAGGAAAGGGAAAGTAACAACGACAAATAAATTATGTCAAGAGGAAAGGGAAAGTAACAACAACAAATAAATTATGTCTACAGGAAAGGAAAAGTAACAACAACAAATAAATTATGTCAAGAGGAAGAAAAGTAACAACGACAAATAAATTATGTCAAGAGGAAAGGGAAAAGTAACAACAACAAATAAATTATGTCAAGAGGAAAGGGAAAGTAACAACAACAAATAAATTATGTCAACAGGAAAGGGAAAGTAACAACGACAAATAAATTATGTCAAAGAGGAAAGAAAAATAACAACGACAAATAAATTATGTCAAGAGGAAAGGGAAAAGTAACAACAACAAATAAATTATGTCAAGAGGAAAGGGAAAAGTAACAACGACAAATAAATTATGTCAAGAGGAAAGGGAAAGTAACAACGACAAATAAAATTATGTCAAGAGGAAAGGAAAGTAACAACGACAAATAAATTATGTCAAGAGGAAAGGGAAAGTAACAACAACAAATAAATTATGTCAAGAGGAAAGGGAAAGTAACAACGACAAATAAATTATGTCAAGAGGAAAGGGAAAGTAACAACGACAAATAAATTATGTCAAGAGGAAAGGGAAAGTAACAACGACAAATAAATTATGTCAAGAGGAAAGGGAAAGTAACAACGACAAATAAATTATGTCAAGAGGAAAGGGAAAGTAACAACGACAAATAAATTATGTCAAGAGGAAAGGGAAAGTAACAACGACAAATAAATTATGTCAAGAGGAAAGGGAAAGTAACAACGACAAATAAATTATGTCAAGAGGAAAGGGAAACATAACAACAACAAATAAATTATGTCAAGAGGAAAGGGAAAAGTAACGAATGAAATCGGGAGTGTATGTTCTCACTGCATGGAATAGAAGAATAAGAATAGTGTAGCCATGGTTATCCGACGTTCATACCATTTTGTATTCCTTGTGTTGAGAGATTCACAATCAAGAGCGTATTGCCTTACTGTGCAGAATTTTCTCTCACAAGGGATACTTATTATAAACCAAGTTTACAATTTCAGTTATCATTTTAGCAATGCAAATGCTCTTTTAGGTATTTTAAAGAGATAGGATTGTTCTGTAGCTTTTGAATGAATGTGTTGTCACTAAGGTTGGCGTATAATTGATAACAAATATTGTTGTACCAATGCTGTAATGGGGTTGAAGTAATCTAAAGAGACTGTACCCTGATGATTGCATGTTCGTCATAGTTGTATTAGTACACTGCAGACAACCGGAGTTTTAATTATATACTGGACAAAATTAGTTGGGGATATATGTAAAATTTAAAATTATGAATAATGATCTATTTATTCATTGATACACAGATGAAATAGCAATCATAAAAATATCAATATCCCTAACTTGTTTTGTCCAGTATATAATGATTGACATAACACTGGGAATCTATGTAGGAAGCTGAAGTACCTTAAATCCCCATGATCCCCAGTAAGATGGCCTAGGTTTGGTTGCTGGCGGTCCACAGCTGGTGTTTAAACAATATTATTAAAAATCAGATCGATTATGAGCTAAG